TAGTTGAGAAGTCAGAGAATGTGAATCGAGAAGTCAGAGAGTGCAAATTGCGTTGTCGAGATAGTGTTGCTAGTGTTGTCGAAAGAGTGTAGTCCGCGTGAGAGAGAGCGTTGGAAGCGTGCTGACGAGAGTTGCAAATTAACTATTTAGTTGTCTTAATTCTAATACGTTATTGTATTTAGTTCACGTTAAACAAGTATTGTTTCCTGTTTAACCAATATCTGTTTAATCCATTTTAAATAAACTAATTGTAGTAAGATCCTACAGTAGGAAAAATCAAAAAGGGATTAAGAATATCACATTAATGATAATTATTCTTAATTAGCTTAAAAATTTCTGAACTTCTCGCATTATACTCAATATTCAATTAAGTAATTATTACATCATAAAAATGAACGAGAACTTGTACAAAATCTAGACAGTTACAAACTAACTGAAAAGAAATTAGTTTCTTATATACAACGTACCTTTTTTGTGCTTTAAGTTGATTAGCTACATACTGTAGCAAACCAGTAAGTTCAATATTATACTTCTTAAATATGGCTCCACAAAACGAAGCAAGGGATTGGAGCCAAAGAGATATGCTGGTGCCATCATGTTTAAACCTATCTCTGTCAGCACCAGCTAAAGCTTCCACAAGACAGTAACCAAGTACATCATAAGAAATGTTAGTCAAATATTTTAGGGAATCTACAACAGGTCCTGTAACACATGAAATAGTAAAAATTATTTAAAATGAAAACCTCCAAGTTTACGAATGTATCATAAAATTATTTACATACCTATAAGATTATCATACAATTGGATTTGTATAAGAATATAATCGAACAATACACCGGGCGAAGAATGTGTAAGTTTGCCTATTGACCTCCCTACGGGCTTTATGGTTTCCTTACTCACTCTTTTCATGATAGACTTAATTTTCTTTTGCGCATCTGCTCGTTTTCTTAAAAGAGCAGCATGTTGCAAAGGTGTATCGTTTTTCCATCGAGCGTATAAACAATATCGATTTTGATATGGATAGTATTTTAAGATATTCCACAATTCTTCGGCAACGCAACAGTTACAGTCCATAAACGATAACGATGGCAGTAACGCCACATCGAGAATAGTCAACACATCGTAATACAAATTGTTATTTTTATCAATTGGTTGCTTATTGGAATCTAACGGACACTGTTTTATGGCCGCATGACACAATCGCATGATTTTGTACATTAGAACAGGATCATGATGTAGATTGGGACCAAGGACTATAAGCATTGGTAATAATTGATCGTGGATCTCCTCGAGACTCTCGATTAGTTTCGGAGCAAGAGAGCTCTTTAATTGTGGAACTCTCCTACCTTGTAATTTTGGCGATATTATACAATTTCTGAAATATAATGTAGCAGGTACAGTAACAGAATTTAACTATAAAAACATACTCTAAATTTGTTTAATTGAATTCTCTGTAACGAAAGTATTAGAATGGAATTTACTTGCGATAAACGGGTTCGATAAGAGATTGAATCATTTTGCACAGCGCTAATGCAATTGGACGTTGATCGGTGAAACTGTGTTCGGGTAATCGATTGAATAAATTTTGTGCTACTTCCCAAGCTCCTGTCTCTAAAAGTGCTTCGCATAACCCGAACTTCTGATTACTTGTGTATTTATCCTTTTAAAAAAATAATGGCGTTAATAAGATCTTTAATAAAATATAATTATACCTGTTTAGATACCTGTGGAGTTTCTTTCTCCTCTGGTACGTCCTCTTTGTCTTTCGTAGAGATTACGCTTAATTTGCGAACATAATCTTTCGCCTGTTTCATTGCCTGTTCGTGTTCTTTAATAATAGTTTTATCATCTGGCACCAACCAAGGCAATATATCATCTAATTTAATAACACCATGTTGTAACATGAGTGCAGTGACTTTTTGCAATGAAAATGGAGTAGCATTGACGGTTGAACAATATTTAAATCCTAAAACTTCGCAGAGTACCTGTTGGTCACTCATATATGACCGAATTAAAGGGATAAAAAGCGCATCATCTTGAGGTCGATTCTCAAAAGTTTCTAATAAAATATCGAGTACCCTATTAGGGTCAAGATTAAAATATCCTAAAAGAATGATATACATATAGTTCCATCCATTTAAAATATACAATTCAGAATATATCGGAACAAAATTTTTTTTACCAATAAGAGACTTAACAATTTCCAAAATTGATGCTACTTCACTTTCTGGACGTTCCTGATTCAATTCCACTATAAGTTTAGAATATCCTTCGCTTTCCTCCCGAAATAAATTAAATTTCCGTTGTTTATAACTGTAAATAAATATTTTATATAGATTTCCCTTCATTAGTTTAATTTTTATATTGAATATTTTACTTAAACAAATAGGAAAAAATACATACTACAATTTTGTCTTCACTTTAATAAATTTGATTTGGAAATTCTTGTTTTTTAAAGTTCCTACATCTTGCAATGTATCAATTTCTAAACGTTCCTTCAATATTCTATCTGTGAGAAACTATATAGAAAGCAAATGACAAATTAATTATGTCATTAGAAATATCTTAATATGTAGCCAGTAGTTCAGTCACTTTTGTTATCCTATAAAATGATACCTTTTCTGATTCTTTTACAAGATAATAAAAATTATTCCTTTCTTCATTATGTGCTTCCGCATCTATCAGTGTAAATATATCCACTATTGCAGATGGTATTGCTCCATCAATATTCTGCAAATAAATATATTTTAAATAAAAGAGAACTAAAATAGACTAACAGTTGTAAAAATGAATTATTGTAATATTGTCATTAACCATTGATCTTACCGTTAGTTCACCTAATGTCTGAACAACATTGTCCTTTTTTATGTTCCCACGGATTCCATTTGAAATTAATTCGTATAATCCTCTTCTCCATTCTAAAATTAAAGATAACACCACATAAATATGTTAAAAATATAGAACTATCAAATGATAATTATATATTGTAAAATGTATCTCAAAAATGCAATTCCTCATAATTTATAATTTACAGTTACATATATCAAAATTAAAAATAATGCAAAATTAACAAAGAACTTGAGAATCAACTTTTTATTAATTTGATTGAAATACAAAATAGTTCAAAATTATATTTTATTCACATATATAAACTCTTTTACTTTTTACAATATTCAATGTGTAGAACAATTTTCCACTGAGGTTTTTCATTAAAATATGTATTTGCATAAAAATCCACACTCTAATTATTTACATTCATAGATAAAAGAATATAAGGAAACGTTGGCGCTTAAATACATTTCATAAATTTTTACTTTTCGGAATATATTCCTCAGATAACAAACAGGGAGAAATATTTTCTATGTGAACATCGTTTATTTCATAAACAGATGGAAACGTTGATGATATGATAAGTGTAACATTGATAGATTTCAGCGCGCGTAAAATTGTCACTTTGTGTGGAAACATGGCTCAAGCTGTTAAGAGAAATTCTTATAATCTCACCTGCAGTGTTGCCTTCCTTAAATTTGTGCTTGATTAACTTGAGGCTGCAAACAGTTGTTAATTGACAATTAACTCTTCAGAAGAGCGAGAAACAGGAGAGATAAGTTGCAACCATCAATTGCACAGAAGTATGCAATATCAATTCAATATTAATCGAACGCACTTTCGGACGTTAACCACTTACAAATCATTTTTTCCATGTTTATCCCATGCTTTCCATATATCTGTATTCCACACTTTACCAGCCATTTTAATTCCATGAAAAGCTTTTTTATAATTAAAAACAATTGTATCAACATCACAGGTTAATAGACTCCATTTTGCACCATTGCAAGCGTCCTCGAAGCTATCGTGGCGCGATCTTTCTTACGCCATATATTATATCTAGACTGGAATCCTTACTGTTAAAATCTTCCTTCTACGTTTCCAGACCCAGTTTCTGTTAAGTACAAAGAGATTGTTGTGTTCTTATTTCCAGCTTCTTATATTGGGTTTTTATTCCTTATACTATATTATATAGATATATTATATATATTCTACAAATGCATATAATATGTAAAAATATCCATAATATGCAATAGATGAAACAAATTTCCATTTATATTTCTATTTCTTTATTTATGCCCACAAAAATATAAAAATGCATTAAAATCCACAGTCTATTAATAAAGTATCAATTGTAAAGAAATAAATATGCCATTAATTATATACATTTATTAGTTTATAAAGTTATCTTTGTTATTCTTTCAAACTTAATTTTAATAAAAAGTTTTTATAAATGTTTCACTTAATAAAAAGCAAAATTAATAATAGGTCACTTTATCTACTTTTCATTTATGAAAAGATTGTATCATTGAAATAAAGTATATATATATATATATATATATATATATATACACACATATATATATATATTTAGAATTATATATATGTATATAAGGAAGAAATATAGTTATAAAATATTAATTTATTTATTGGTTAAATTTATATTTTATGTAATTCAAGAAACCATACTCTGCCCAACGAGTAGAGTCGCCCAGTACTCATAATAAAAATCTGAGGAGCACTAAATTCTAATATCTGATTTATAATACATTAGAACATAGTAAGCTACGTTTTCGAATATTAATAAAGTATTAGTTAAAGATATAGTATTGATTAAAGAGACATTTAGCGAAAAAGTGTAATCGAATTTCACTGAAAATGTTTTATAAACTACTGAAACTACTAAATCAGTATATTATCCTATCTACTTTTGATTTATGAAAAATATGTTGTTTATCTTATGACAGTATATATATAGGATATAAATATAATTATAGAATATTGATTTTCTCTGAAGATTAAATTTATACTTTACGTAATACAAGAAATGAACATACGCGCTTTAAATGGCTTCATGGGAAAAATGTAAAAACAGTACTAAATACGAATAATTTTTATTTATATATCAAATACATAATATCATAAGTTACTAGCAAATTCATTTGCCTTACAAATACATTTTATAGGTTAGGTTTTATCAAAATATTACCGTTAGAAATTGATGGGTTTAGGAACGCGAAGAACTTCAGTTCTTTTACGTTCAGCCATAGAACAGAAAGGTATTGTCATTTTTACTTCAAATAAAATCAGAGAACATCCGGCTGTTTATTATTAATAGTAAATAAGTTTCGGTATAATTATATCGATTAATTACTGCACAATAACACGAGTTTAATATTATCGTCGATAATATAACATGCTTTATAATTAGAATATACGAGTGTAACGCTGTTTTGTTTACTACTCTTCCTGTATATAAAATAATTTAGACAACTGTAAAACTTAATATTTTATTATATATATTAGTGCTGTAAGAATGTATGTTTTGTATTTAGTTTCTTTTTAATTAAGAATTATTTTATATATTCCTCTTTTTTTACTATAATAAATTTGGTTATGTCACGTTGTAACTGTAAATTTGACAATTTTTATTTTCAGTACAAAATGGCCAAATCTAAGGAGAAGAAAAGCAAAAGTGCTATTAACGAGGTTGTCACTCGTGAATATACAGTGAATCTCCACAAACGTCTCCACGGAGTTGGATTTAAAAAACGTGCTCCACGAGCTATCAAAGAAATTCGCAAATTTGCTGAAAAACAAATGGGAACTCCAGATGTGAGGATTGATACACGACTCAACAAACAACTGTGGTCTAAGGGAATCAGGTAAATTTTATATATTTCTGGGTTTGATTTAATTTATAACTATTTATGATTGGACTGTCACTGTCTGAATTTTTTGGTATTTTATATTATTAATTTACATTGTATATTTCTAGAAATGTACCATTCAGAGTTCGTGTACGATTGAGCAGAAGAAGGAATGATGATGAAGATTCTGCAAACAAATTGTACACCCTTGTTACGTACATACCAGTTGCTTCTTTCAAAGGTTTACAGACAGAAAATGTTGATGCAAGCCAAGATTGATTTGTTTCTGATTAATAAATAAGTTTTCATCAATCTTTGACTTTATAATTATTTCAATATTCCTTTGTTTATTTCACACTCAATAGTTTTTATTATTTTTTAATGTTCAACTTCTTTAATGTACTTAGGATATTAATATTAGAAATGATACTACTCATTTACCCAATCTAGCACATTTTACAAAGTCTATATTTAACATCAGAATCAGAGATATTAAAGATAAATTAATTTTAAAATCCTACGTTAAGTTAGAATAATTTAAAATTTTAAATGGTTCAAATATAAAAATTTTCTGCGATCTGATATTGTCGATTATCGATACATATCGACAACAATGTCACTATATATGCTTCCCACGCTGTAATGTTCCTAGCCAATTCTTACTGTAATTTGCTATAAGATAGTGATATTTCGAGCATCCTATGGTAATCATAGTTAGTGTAAGTTTTATCATAGTCGAGGAACTTCAGGAAAGTTTATTATTCGTATGGATTCTGGCATTACGATACTGTATTACGGCTCGAATAGTGTACGTTCTGAAATAGGAGCAGTGAGTGTAAGTAATATCAAGTGATCATACGATGGCGCGCTAACAATATTTCTTTCTCTCTCGTTTCTCTATTAATTTTATTGAGTCCTAGGTAGATAATTGACTTGATCTTTGTTTATACTTATGCTGACATGAGTCGGTGATCATTTATTAAAATGCAAAGTACGAATCCACTAATGTCGCTTTATTTACAAGAGTGTCGGCATCTTTTTTTTTTCTTTCATTTTAATTCGCCGGCTCACAGTTTTATCAAAGTATTCTTAGTAGTTTTATTTCGATGCTCTCGAGCTGTTTGTGTAATCAAAGCGTCGCGTCTCATCGAGGCTGCATTTGCATTCAATAACTTCAGATAATAAGCCTATTGTTTATTGTAGCATGCAAAACGCAGCCAACATGTGCGTAAACGCATATAGTTAAAGAGAAATAAATTTTTGTATGCTTATGATTTACGACTTGGTTTGGGCGCTATAATTATTCGCTCCGATTAATTCGATTCGGTTTGTCAATGATCGATCACGCGGCTACTTTTTATCAAATAAATCGCGCACATAATTAAGTCTGTGGGAACGGATGTGACTCCGTGAAGAAAGAATTTCGTTCCCACATTTCTTTTTTACTTTTACCGTACATTATCATCGTATGATCCTTCCTCTAACCGGTACACCTTAGTTATAAGTTATAATTTTTCTATAAAAGAAAGAAAAAAATTGTATTAAGAAATAAAAAAACAAAATTTCTATTTAGCTTTTTTTCATTTTTTTTATAAATTTTTTCCGCATAATAATATAAATATAGATTGAAACTTATTATATACTATTACTTTATGCAATTATTTTTTGTATAAGCATATTCTATGCTATATACAATATTAAAAATTTGTGTATTTTCTATATACTATTTCTTTTTCTTGTTTCTTATCCTTTTCTCTATTATTCTAACTGTTTTATTAACATGTCCCATTAAACACATATATCATACATAATACAATGTTTAAATAAATTCTTTAAGAATACTATACTAACAAATGTATCTTGCATTTTTTATTTTCTTTCTTCATACAATTCTTTATTGCACAATTTTTTATATATTTTTTAATTTTTCTTTTTCTAATTATTCAGTAGTTTATAATGGAAGGAGGTGGAGTACTTACAGCAGAACGCAGTCCTGCACGTGCGAATCTGCATGTAGCTTTCAGTGAAAAGGGTGAGGTAAAGGAACGCAGGGAAAAATTCTTAACAGCCAAGTATGGCTCTCATCAGATGTCTCTTATCCGTAAAAGACTTGCAGTTGAAATGTGGCTCTTTGATGAGCTAGAAAAACTATATGAATCAGTTGTAAGTTTAAAATTAATCTCTTTGTAACTAGAAGTTATTACATAGATATAAATTATTTATCAATTTTCGTTCATTGACAGAATGAAAATGGTAAAAATCGGGAAGTTGAAATAGATATAGATGAACTTCTTGATATGGACAGTGATGATCATAGACGAAGATTTTTGCAGGTATGTATTTGTACATTAGATTAGATGGTTGTTATCAAAGCTGATATACATTAATTATTGCTATTGTTTTATTTTGTTGTTATAGGAGTTACTGGTTGATACAAAGAAACCACCACATGATGTAAATGTAAGTGCAGCTCCTAAGCTTGTCTTGATAAATTTGCAATTATTCGTTGTAACAATATTCTTTCTCCTAAAATTTAATACTTTGTGACTAATATATACCTGAAAATAATATCTAGTATTTTTAATGAATTAATAAGCTCGATTATAGTGTACCTATGGTTCTAGAGGAATAATTTGATTGATAAACTGGGGCCTTGTCACTAACGGAAGTTCATCTCTTTATTTATATGTTTCAGAAATTCATTAACGATTTACTTGAAAAAGCTAAAACACTTTGAAGAACTTCCGTGTTCTTCTTAACACTTACGTGTTTGCAAGGACTTTTTTGAAGCATGAACAAATTTGCTCAGATTTTGGGACGAGTCAAAGACATATTCAAGCCTTAAATGAGTCGCGCGCATACGTGACTTAAATGCCAATTTATCATTATACTTGGATCGAACATAATGGGGAAAAGAAAATGAAAAAAAATCTAATCCATCAAATGACTCTGCACATTTTTATTCTAGCGTATATTATTTCATATTGAAATCGTAAGCATTAGTATCTGACTTATCTCAGTACAACGGCTAACTTTGTTAGTTATTTATGTGCGCATCGCATATCAAGTAATAAATCTCACAGTACACGGAACTGCCTTGCTGTACGATCCATCCAGTGTGATGTATAGTAGAAAACGTTTGTTCTTCTACACTCTAGTTTTATATGCATTCTATACTCCATTGTTCGTAATAATATTTATGTTATTAGGGGATGATTAACTAACAAAGATACTTCCAAAACACTGTAACTATATGAAATAATTTCTATGCATATCCTAAGTTCATTGAATTGTCATAACTGAGGATATGATTGGGTTTGAAACGATTAATATTTTTTATGTTGTAGCAAATTAATACAAACTTTTTTTTATTTATTGTAGAAGATACTTTAAGGGGGCAGATATGCAAAATTTCGCATCGAATGCTTGTATGAATTTAAAGGGGAAAAAAAGAAAGAAACGAAAAAAAAATGATGGAATCTGTTTGATAATATAATAAAAGCGTGTATGTTTCAGATGATATTATCACTGGCATAGTAATAATTAAAACGTGGAAATGACACCTATCGTTGCTCCAGTACCGAATCAGTATTGAAAATTATCGTGAAGCAGAAATTAACTCTGCCGTAAGTTTGTCATTTTCCTCCTCTTTTCTTTTGGATAATTGTTGATTGAAATTTTTCAAAGTTCTTGTTAAGTCGTTAATAAAAAAAAGGAAAAAAATGAAGGGAAAACCATAAAAACATTCCTACATTTAGAAAGATATTAAATTCTTTATATTGTAACGACGATGTAGTAATGATTTTTTTAAATTACTTTGTTACTTATATAATCATGTTGTTAATTTTCAAGATTTTAAATTTCTATTTATAGACGTGTTATACTCGTTTAAATGATCGGTCGATCATCTTTAATGAATCTTTAATAGATCAATTCGCGTATTTGTCTCGAAAAAGAAAGAACAAATGGAACGAATGTACAAGTCCTCTGTTCTGACGGCCTCGTTTGGATAAAATAATTGTAAATGCGTAGAATTATTCGTGTATATCTATATGTAGTACAAATTAGCGTTTGTGTTATAAAAAAAGAAAAAAAAATAATTCACCGTCGCAACAGAGTGCAATCATAGGTGACATTTATACGATTTACCGACAGTCATTTAACATACGAGCTATTGTGTAAAATGTATCCACAGTTACTGTAAAAGAGGAAGGGAGTGAATTTAACGCAAACTTCCGGATAACCCAAAGGATCTCTTGCACCGATGTATCTCGCATTAATTACTTAAAACCAAAAATGAAAAAAAAAAGACTGCACAAGTGGAATTTACCTTCCTCTTAGACACCATATATTATAATATAGATGCGTACAGAAATCACAGTAAGTGGTAAAACAGGATGGATAAGATGGATATATTATTGAAGATCGAATACACAGTATCGGATGTTGAACGGGGAACCAAAAAGTTTTCTGTTTATGCTGGACAAAAACATAAAAAGCAATACCTATATGATGTGATTACTTAAAAATATATATTCGTGTGAAAGAAAAAGGAAAGAAATGGCTAGAAGAACTTTGTGGCTACCTCGTACGCCATATTTCTAGTGCTATTAATCCCCATTCAAAGAACAGAAAAAAAGAAGAAAACGTGGAGAAACAAGAATGATTTTATCCAAGCAAAGACTTAGTAAATCACTATCATTTTACGAGATATATTTGAGTGTACAGAGATTCACAACTGCCATTTGTTTTTTGGCAAAAATGTGATCTTTGTAGACTTGATCTGAGGGCATAGAGAAATGTGTTTAGAATATCTTTCTACTCACCCATCCTTCAAACAAAAAAAATATACTTCCATTTAGGTGAATAACGTGTAATTAAAGGAGAAAAAAGGTCTTGTCACTCAATTATATATATTTAAAACTTTATACGACAAAATATATGTGAATGTGTAATTAAGATTAGGGAAGTAAAAAACAAAAATACTATACAATAAACTTTGATCTCATAATAAAACGGTGCAATCGTGACGTGTTCGTTCACTTTTGATCAAGTGGAGTCATATGACTATATGACACACATTTTAGCGATTGATTTTTATGTCGAACGAAGACGTCAGAATCCAATCAGAGTTTATTGTACTAGAAACGATACAATCAATTGGTGCACTTGTGATTTAGTGTTGTACAACGGTATGCGACCTTCGATAGAATTATGTTCATCGAATCGGCACGTAAAACGGAGAAGAGGAAAAAATACAAGAAGATTATGAAGTTTTTAAATTTTATCACCAGAAAACAATGTCGCTGTAGA